AGATTAATTTGGATAGAATTGCCATTTTGATTATGTTAATCCTTTCAATCCAGGAACATGGGCTGTCCTTCCTCTTTTTTATGTCCTTATCTATATATTTTTTAAAATTTTCATAGTTTTCTTTGTAAAGGTCTTTGACTTCCTTAGTTAGGTTTATCCCTAGGTATCTTATACATTTTGTGGCTATGGTAAAAGGGATTCCTTTCTTCAACTCTACTTTGTTCAACTTGTTGTTCATATATAGAAATGTTATAGACTTTTGGATGTTGATTTTGTATCTTGCCACTTTCCCATATTCACTTATTACTTAGAGAAGTTTTTTCATGGAAATCTTTGGGTCTTTTTAGTATACTATCATGTTGGTAACCAGCAGTTAGTGTAATGGCTATGTCGCTGGACTCTCACGTAGTTGACTGCGGTTCGCTTCCCAGACCCAGTGGCTTAAAACTCACGCCAGGCGCGTGTGCGTGCATGCCCAAGATCCCAAGAGGAGAATGGAGAAGAAGGGACTGCAGCATGACCATCCCCCCTGGGGGGTGATTTCTCGCTTTCTGTCTCTATGTCTCTCTCTGTCTGTCTGGCAAGCACACGCGCCCTATAGCAAAAACCTCTCAAAAAAAAAAAGTATGCTATCATGTCATCTTCAGGTAAAGACATTTTCAACTCTTCTTTGCCTATTTGAATGCCTTTTAATTGTTCTCTTTTCTGAGTGTATTATCTAAGACTTCCAATACTATATTAAAAAAGCAGTGGAGAAAGTGGGCAGCCTTGCATAGTACCAGCTTTTAGCGGAAAAGTGTTTAGCTTTTTCCCATTCAATATGTTAGCTGTAAGTTTTTCATAGATGGATTTTATTGTGTTGAGAAATGACCCTTCTGTATCAATCTTACTGAGGGTCTTAAGCATAAAAGGATGCTGTATTTTATCAAATGCTTTCTCTGCATCAATTGAAATGATCATATGGTTTTTATCTTTCTTTCTGTTAATATGGTGTGTTATATTTATGGTCTCGCGTATGTTGAACCACACTTGCATCCTAGAATAAAGCCTACCTGGTTGTGATGAAAAATCTTTGTTACATGTTGTTGAATACGATTTGCAAGTATCTTGTTGAGAACTTTTGCATCTATATTCATCAACAATATATGTCTGTAGTTTTCCTTTTTTGTCATGTCCTTTTCTGTTTTGGGAATGAGGATGAAGGAGGCTTCATGAAATGAATTTGAGAGGTTTCCTTCCTTTTGAATCTTTAGAAATAATTTGAGGATACAGATGAACTCTTTCTTAAAAGTTTTGTGGAATTCAGAAGTGAAGCCATCTGGACCTGGGCTTTTCTTTGTTGGGAGGTTATTTATTACTGATTCAATCTCCTGGCTTGTTATAGGTCTATTCAGGTTTTCTATGTCCTCCTGATTCAGTTTTGGTAGATTATACGCATCTAGTAATTCGTCCATCTCCTCCAAATTCTCTTGTTTGTTGGCATATAGTCATTCATAGTATCCTCTAATGATATTTTGTATTTCTGTAATGTCTGTTGTGATGTTGCCTTGTTCAACACATATTTGATTTATCTGGTTTCTTTCTTCTTTTCAGTCTAGCCAATTAAGTGTCAATCTTGTTAATCTTTTCAAAGAACCAATTTTTGCTTTCATTTATTTTCTGTACAACTCATTTATTTTCTATTTCATTTATTTCTGCTTGAACCTTTATTATTTCTTTTCACCTGGCATTTTGTTGTTGTTGTTTTTCCAATTCTCTAAGGCATGATGTTAGGTTATCTATTTCTCACCTTTCCATCTTTTTCTTATGCATACTAATTGCTATGAATTTCCTCTTGTGACTGATTTTGCAGTGTCCCATAGATTATGTAAACTTGTGTTCTCATTATCATTTGTTTCCATAATTTTTTTTATTTCAGACTTAATTTCTTCAATAGTTAAGAAGTCAATCAGAAGTAGGTTGTTCAGTTTCCATATGTTTGTGTGATTTGAAGGGTGTTTCTTGAAATTAATCTTGAGTTTAATTCCATCATGGTCAGAGAAAATGCTGGATATAGTTTCTATGCCATTGAATCTGTAAAGGCTTGATTTGTGTCCTATCATATGGTCAGTCTTTGAAAAGGTTCCATGCCAGGGTGAGAAAAATATATATTTTGTGGTCTTAGGGTGGAAAGTTCTATAGATATCTATCAAGCCCATTCAATTTATAGTATCATTTAGATCATGTATCTCTCTATTTATTTTTTGCCTAAAAATCTCTATAAAGGAGATAATGGGGTGTTGAGATCCCCAACAATTATAGTGTCGCTTCCTATCTCTCCTTTTATCTCTAGCAGTCTTTCCTTCACATATTTAGGTGCTCCTGACTTGGGTGCATAGATATTTATATGCATTATGTCTTCTTGCTGGATTACCCTATTTACTATTACATAATGCTTTTCTTTGTCTCTTCTTACAGTCTTTGTCTTGAAGCCTATTTTGTCTGAAATCAGTATCACAACTCCAGCCCTTTTTTGATTTCTATTTATATGGAATATATTTTTCCAGCCCTTCACTTTTAATCTATGTATGTCTTTATCCATAAAGTATGCTTCTTGTAGGCAACAGATAGTTTCTATTTTTCTTTTTTTTATCCATTCAGCCAGTCTGTGTCTCTTAACTGGATAATTTAATCCATTGACATTCAATGTTGTTATTGCTATTTCCGGACCTGTTTTTATCATTAAGTGAGCCATTTTCTTGGTTGCTTTTTGTCCTCTTATAACTGTCTATCTGATTTTTTAGTTTTCCTGGTATAGTACTCCCTTTAGAACCTCTTGA